CTTTCCGGCTAAAGTGGACCGCAGTGTTAGGCTCGCCTAGATCTTATCAACACTCCCAATGGGACTCGAAACATAATAATGCAGCGTATAATATCGATACAGTAAGCACTACGAGACATTGCCACGGGTGCCATTAACTCACAGAGCAGATTTGAATTTGAAGGAAGGTCAGACATTTTTTCATATCACATTCTATGGTAGGAGCAAAGTTTTATTTGCTCTAGTAATAGAATAATTTATTTGAGTAGAGCATTTATAGATGAAGGTGAATACAATTTATGATGTATTGGTAGGCTCAAAAACCTACTTAAAAACTAAACATAGCAACATGATTCTGACGATAGCTCTTCGAAAATATCCTGAGGTCCTTGGAGTAAAGATCTTAAGAGCCCTAATTCTCTCTGATTACTCTAAAACTAAGCCAGGAAATATGCCAATTGTCAGATCAAGGCCTAGTTACGATTAAAGCAGACCCAACTTAATGGTCTTCAGATAAGAATGGATAGAATTCGGCGTATCGTGAAACTATGAGACATGCTAACAGCCTGCAATTAAAAACTGAGCAAATGCAAGAATCTGTACCAGGCTCATGTGCAGAGAGAAATTTTTGATATTGTAACAAGGAGCTCGTAAACAGCATACTTCAATAGTGGGCAAAACCGATCCGTCAAGCAGTGCCAACATCACAACAGACAAACTATGTGGTAAGCGCTGCACTTCAGCACCATTTTGTACTATAATGGTGAATTACTAATCGCACTTAATGACCTGAACTGTATGGCGTAGGTTATTTATCTATATGGTGAAGGTAAGCCAATCAATCCATACGTAGTACGTATGGATAGTACTGTTTCCGAGACTCAACACTACACTAAGAGTAAGAAAGCACTGTCCCGGCAGGTAAACCATATTTGTTCTTGCAAATTTTGTTTATCTGGTAAGGTTGTTTCTAAATTTTGCATTGTTGATAGGCCAAATTTGACAAAGAGAACTAAGCGATTACTTCAGTGTATCCCAGGATATAGTTAATATTAGGACCTAGGAAAAAATTATACAATTACACTTCTTGATATGGAGGAAAATCAGATTACGCCAATCGCTATTAGCTAGGAAGATCTCTCTAAATTAGAAAGAATGGTGATCAAGCTATATGATAGAGTTTTCCAACAGCTAATATGCACACATTATAATAAGTTTGAGAATTCAGGTATAAGAATCACAAGAAAGAGTAGTCAAAGCACGTTAATGGTAGACGTTATGGAGCAAATGATAGTTGGTGAGGTGGCAAACCTGTTCAAAACATTATTGGACGTTACCACCAAGAAAATGCTCTCAAAAGGTAGGAACTGGTGGAACTGACGATGTCGGCAAAACGTAGCAAGTCCACGACCCGACTGGAAATTAGCATGCATGCTATGTACTTCAGAAAAGGTTAATTACTCTATGTCTACTTGCGAAAATACAGTCAAACAACTCCGATACAACGAAAAGAGAGCGCAACCATACTGAAGGCCACACAATTTTGGTCTTCAGACCTTCCATATGAATAGGCTCCGTCAAGATCATACGATGCACTATTACAATCTGGGTTTTGAGTCCAGGTTGGAATGCAGATGAGACCTAGGCTGGGTCGAAACTGTAGTCTACTCTGGATGATAATACCTTTTGGGAAATATGGCTAGGTGGAATTCCATAGGAAATGCGGAACCTCTTTATCATCTTATGCGACCTGGGTTGACTGGAAGCCTTCGTCGAAAAAGGAAATCCTTTGGCAGCATATGACTATCATTCTGTACTCCGTCATCTGGACATGTTGAAGACCAGAGAACTATAAAATGCAAACGCCTCGTGTAAAATCTAATAATTGTGCACTGTATCTTTTACGCTCCTCTGCTTCGGGCAGTTTAGTCGCGTGAAAATGGGTGCGTGTCAGTGTCTACTCACACCTACATTCGCGCAGGAAAGATTATGGATGAGATCCTGTTGTCGCCTGGGCGATTATCAGGTGATCTACTTTCTCATAGTGCATAGCCCATGTAGGAAATCAAGAATTACCTGCCTAAACAGGACCAAATGAACTGTTTGCCTTGGAAACGTACCTCAGTTCATTCTCCGTACCATAAGGTGTGTTGATCATGGGAATGAACGGTGCCTGTTCCGTCTGCACATCCAATACTGCGGTGCTGGCAGACGGCCAGTTATGAACTCCTGACCTCGACTTCATCAATATTGTCGAGTTTGGGTATTGCGCAATTTTTTGTCGGCTAGCCTGCAACAGAGCCTCGGTCTCGCATAGCTTTGTTTGATCATCGAATGGCAATCTGCTGGACGGATGCGGAGAACTTGACCGGCTTGAATGAGACGATTTCGCGGTGCTGACGCGGTTGGAGTAATAATCACTGCTGTTCGAATCTTCGTGAAATAGGGAAGTGCCAGCAAAAGAGTTTAATAGATTGTCTAACAAGACACAAACGCAAAATGAGAAAAAAAGCCGTTTGACCAATAACAATAACAATTCTCAAGGCTGAAAAAAACAATCTA